TAGTAGTGGTAACATTTAATGACACCAGGAGCCATTGATGACCATGTACTGGACTATTGTTTTTGAGACTTTTATCCCTGCCCTCTTCACTGGCAATAAGAACTCCATGAGCAGAAGCCATGTTTACACTCATGTTGCAGGACAAAGATGCTCAGCTGTGTCGAGTTAACTTGATTTAGGTCACACAGCTAGCAAATGGCAGCTTCATTGTAGCTGTGAGAACAGAGGGGAAGAAATGCACAAATGAGCATGGTAAAGCATTGGCACATAATGATCAGGTTATAGAGCAGTAAAAGGAGGTACAGGTGCAATGGAAGGCCTGGCTCTAACCAGGGTATAGGCAAGGACTGAGGAGGAGAGAGCAGAGTCCATCCCTTAGCAAGGGATGAAAGAAACTATTTAAGGGACACCCAGGGTTTACTGAGAACCATAGCTCTATTGGGGTACCGAGTCTCCAAAAAGAAAGCACAAATCTGTTTTCTTTGAGTTACTTATCTAAGATATGAACTGAGGGAAGGGAAAAGGCTGCTATCCAAAGCCCACATAGAGACCATAATGAAGATCCCAATCCCAACTACTAAAAGGCAAGTTAGGGAAATCCTGGGGGCAGTTGGGTACTGCCACATTTGGATACCTGGATTTGCTGAGATTGCCAAGCCTTTATATACTGCAACTGCAGGGGGCAACTCACCCTTAGTTTGGACTGAAGAAAATGAATTAGCCTTTAAAAATCTAAAAAAGGCCCTGGCACAGACTCCAGCCCTAACCCTCCATGATTTCTCTAAGCCCTTCCATCTGTATGTTCATGAGAAAAGGGGCATTGCAAAAGGGGTTCTTACCCAAAATCTAGGGCCATGGAAAAGGCCTATTGCCTACATTTCAAAAAGGCTGGATCCAGTAGCATCAGGATGGCCCCCTTGTTTATGAGCCATAGCGGCTACTGCACTTCTGGTAAAGGAAACAGACAAGCTTACCCTAGGGCAGACTCTAACTGTGACTGCCCCTCATGCAGTGGAAGCTCTATTGAGGGATGCCACAAATCATTGGATTTCAAATGCCCGCCTCACTCAAAATCAAGCTCTACTCCTAGATAAAGACAGATTAACCTTCAGTAAATCCCTGGCCATCAATCCAGCAACTCTGCTGTTGGACAGTAATCCAGGGAGCCAATTCATGACTGTTCAGAGATGCTGGATATCATTCAAGGTACTCGACTAGACCTGACTGACATTCCTCTCACCGTCAGAGACGCAGACCTTTACACTGATGGCAGCAGCTATGTCCGGGATGGAATAAGGTATGCAGGGGCAGCTGTAGTAACAGGTCAAAAAGAAGTTATTTGGTCCCAGGCTCTGCCCAGAGGCTCATCAGCCCAGAAAGCAGAAATCATTGCTGTGACACAGGCATTGAGATGGGCAAAAGGAAAACGGGTGAATATCTACACAGACAGCAATTATGCCTTTGCTACAGCACATGTGCATGGACAAATATATAAACAAAGGGGACTTCTAACCTCAGATGGCAAGACCATCAAAAATAAACAAGAAATTCTTGAACTACTGGAGGCAATTTGGTTACCAGATAAATTGGCTATTATCCACTGGCCTGGACACCGCAAAGACGATAGTCCTCAGACCCAGGGTAACAACTTGGCCGATCAAACAGCCAGGAAAATAGCCCTTTGAGAGCCAAAATACCAAGCTGTCCTAGAAATCTCCAATTATCCAAAATTTCCAGTTAAATTTTTGGAAAAGGCCCCGTCATACACTATAGAAGAAATAAACTCATACTCCTCAATGGGGGCCCAACAAAACTGTCATGGCTGGTGGACCCTCCCAGATAAAAAAAAAAAAATCTGCATACCTAAGCTATTAGGGAGAAAATGGTTAACTAATCTTCATCAAGCCATGCATTTATCCCCCCAAAAGATGTCAGAATTGATCTCACCCTATGTCTGGCTACCAGGACATCGAGAAATGCTTCAAGATATCTCAAATAGGTGCATGACATGTGCACAGGTAAACGCTAAAAGGAACCAACTTACACAAGGAAACAGGAGTCAAGGTACTGTACCTGGTGAATTTTGGGAACTAGACTTCACTGAAATTAAACCTGGACTATATGGATGTAAATACTTGTTAGTCTTTGTTGATACTGTCTCAGGCTGGGTAGAGGCTTTTCCAACCCGTACGGAAACAGCAAAAATAGTAGTTAAAAAGCTAATAACTGAGATTGTTCCTAGATTTGGCCTCCCTCTAATTTTGGGGTCTGACAATGGCCCGGCCTTCACGGCCAAATTATCTCGATTGATTTCAAAGGCCCTTAATATAAACTGGAAAATATGCTGTATGTATCATCCTCAAAGCTCAGGGAAAGTGGAAAGGATGAATAGAACATTGAAGGAAACACTGAATAAATTCATTCTTGAGACTGGTGGTAACTGGGTTGATCTGCCTTTTGCCCTGCTGAGGGCCTGTTGTACTCTTTATCAGGAAAAATTTACCCCTTATGAAATAATGTATGGGCAGCCACTGCCTATGGTTCCCAGAATACATCTAGATCTGCTGGGAGACATTCCAGTCTCAGAGGCACCTAAATGGTTACAACTAATCATTTTCATAAAGAATTATTCACATAAACATTGTGCTCATTGATGTTAATATTTTTCAATTTCAGTCTCTAAACTTTTTTAAAATAGTTATTTAGTTCTTTGAGTAATTCATAACTGTCATTATCCTAATGTTAAATTATTAATGTTTTCTTTTTCTTTTTTTTAACTTGTATTTAGCTATGCTTCTCTTTGTTTATACTTGCTGTACTATTTTTTATTTGTTCATTAAAAGAGCCAACAGTAGATTATATAGTCCATTTTCGGGAAAAAATATAGACTTAAATAAATAAAAATAGGCAAGAAGAGTGCTGCATCCTTGTAATATTTGCTAATTGGGAGGCCATGCAAAAGTACTTCACATTTGAGAGAAGTCACAGAAATTTAGAAACAGCATGGCTCAAACAATTTTAAGAAGACTTGTGTTGTAGTTCATGATATAGAATTTTTGGGGTAATCTCAAGCATTACATATGAAACACTAAAAGTTGGATGACGTAAAGATCCAGAATTGCCAGTACTAAATATGTATCCATGAACAATTAAATCAGAAAATTGAAGAGATACCTCTGCTTTTGTGTTTAGTGCCAAAATTTTTCACAGTATTAAAGCTAGGGACTCAATGTGTGTGCCCATTAGTGTCAAATGTTTAAAAATATGTACTTATATACTATTATTACTTAGGTATAAAGTATTTTGTCTCTTAAAGTGTTATACGAAATATATGCAGTACTTTGAATTAAGTGAAAGGTGGCAGGCAGATATTAAGTTGTAGGAGCATTTGATTCACATGTGGAAGTCAGAAATTTAGTGAGCAAAATTTTGCTCACCAGGTATTGTGTTTTGTGTAGGGTTGATATTATAGTAAAAGTCTCCATATTTTTATTTTATTGAGCGTAATAGGGTCAAGAGTTTTATTTTACCACATAGTGAGTGTATTATGTTCTTCATAAACACTAGTAGAAGGAATACAATACCTTGTAAGAACAAAATTGATAATTATATGAAATAATGATTTTGTTAATTCATTCTATTTATTCATTTTACCTTGAATATATAGTATAAAATACCATGATATATTTATAAATAAACAAAGTTGTATTTGTCAATAAAGGAAATTCTCATCACATGAATGTAAAAATATAAAAATCAATTTATTATACTTGACTGTCATGTGTTGAATTCATCCAAATATTATGGCCATAGGGTATGCAAGGTTTTTATTGTCTTTTAAAATGTTTTTATGAAAAATTTTATAGACATATATGTGTATATTTCTTAGTAAA